TAAAACAAATCAATGTTACACTGTAAAACAAATCAATGTTACACTGTAAAACAAATCAATGTTACACTGTAAAACAAATCAATGTTACGTCACTGTAAAACAAGTCAATGTTACACTGTAAAACAAATCAATGTTACACCATAAAACAAATCAATGTTACACTGTAAAACTAGTCAATGTTACACTATAAAACAAATCAATGTTACACTGTAAAACAAATAAATGTTACACTGTAAACCTAGTCAATGTTACACTGTAAAACTAGTCAATGTTACACTGTAGAACAAATCAATGTTACTCTATAAAACAAATCAATGTAACACTGTAAAACTAGTCAATGTTACACTGTGAAACAAATCAATGTTGCACTATAAAACAAATAAATGTTACACTGTAAAACAAGTCAATGTTACACTGTAAAACAAGTCAATGTTACAGTTTCGGTTTAGATCTGATTTGGCTTTGGTTAACAAAACTGGTTTTGGTTTTACTACTGTAAAAACAAATATCTGGTTTAACATTAAAAAAATGGCTTCAAAACAAATGTATTCAGCACTAATACCTCAAATGTGTCTCAATAATGACGATGACACGGATGGTATCCTCATGTTATCGGTTTCGGCACACTTAAGAAGCAGCCGCGATTACATACTCATACCGGTAGAAAATTGTTAAAATGACTGTCATAGACATGTTTAAAATTTACTGATGGAAACAGAAACTAGCAAAAGAAAACTGTATTTAAAAAAAATAAGAAATATTTTTTCAACAAATTTCACCTGCCGGAAGTAGCCGTCACATGTTTCCATGCATTTATTTCGATTCAGTGTTTGAAGAAAGAAAGACTACTTGAGTACACCTTGGTGGGTATTTCAAGTATGATCTTTGATTGTCAAATTAATTATCGAAACAATTTTTTCAAAACTGCACATTCTGTTATTAGCTCACCTGCCCGAAGGGCTAGTGAGCTTATGCCATGGCCCGTCATCCGTCGTCCTCTGTCAACTTTTCCTTTTAACGACGTCTTCTGATGAATGGACAGGCCTAGAGTCATGATATTTTGGTGATGGCTTCCTGGGATAGAGCCCGACAAACTTTGAGAATGAAAATGACCTTGACTTACTTTCAAGGTCACAGCTGTCAATTATGTCAAACACTTTAAACGTCTTCTTCTGAAGAACGAAAAGGTATAGAACTTTCATGTTTGGCTGTTGGCTTCATGAGATAGAGCCCAACAAAGTTTGAGAATGAAAATTACCTTGACCTACTTTCAAGGTCACAGGGGTCAAATGTGTCAAACTCTTCAAACGACTTCTTCTGAAGAACTTAGAGGTATAGAATCTTCATATTTGGCTGGTGGCTTCCTGGGATGGAGCCCAACAAAGTTTAAAAATGAAAATGACCTTGACATACTTTCAAGGTCACAGGGGTCAAATGTCGTAAAATCTTCAAACCACTTCTACTCAATAACCAAACGGCCCAGGGTACTGAAATCGGGCCTGTAGCATGATGCGATGAAGGACTACCAAGTTTGTTCAAATGAATGACCTTGACCCACTTTCAACCTAATGTCCTTGTTCGACATTCAAGGTCACATGCGTCATATGTTTAAATCTTTTTATATTTTCTTATGAATCAAACACTGATATTCTGCCTGTAGCTGCATTTTAGTCCACTTTTAAGATAACAAGTGTGAGATTAATACCAGGTGAGCGAAGGACCATGGTGAGCTTATGCCATACTGCAGCGTCTGTCGTCCGTCTTGTCAACTTTTCTCAATTTTGTATAAACGGTGGGTGTGGCCCCCCCCCTGGGTGCAGAATGCAGCCCCCCCCCTGGGTGCAGAAGGCAGGGCCAAATAGGGAAAATAGAGGTTAAACCTTTAAAATCCTTCTTCTATCGTAGGCATTAAGGGATTTTATCCCAATTTAGTCTGGAGCATCCTTGGGCCAAGGGGACTCAATTTTGTATAAACGTTTGGTGTGGCCCCCCTGGGTGCAGAAAGGCGGGGCCAAATAGGGAAAATAGAGGTTAAACCTTTCAAATCCTTCTTCTATCGTAGGCATTAAGGGATTTTATCCCAATTTAGTCTGGAGCATCCTTGGGCCAAGGGGACTCAATTTTGTATGAATGGTGGGTGTGGCCCCCCTGGAGGCAGAGGGGCAGTGCCAAATAGGGAAAATAGAGGTAAAACCTTTAAAATCCTTCTGCTACTGTAGGCATTAAGGGATTGTATCCTTATTTAGCCTGGAGCATCCTTTGGCCAAGGGGACTCAATTTTGTATAAACAGAGGGTGTGGCCCTCCAGGGGGGCAGAGGGACTGGGCTGAATAGGGGAAATAGAGGTAAAACCATTAAAATCCTTCTTCTACCGTAGGGATTAAGGGATTTTCTCCTAATTTAGCCTTGAGCATCCCTGGGCCAAGGGGACTCAATATTGTATAAACGGTGGGTGTGGTCCCCCTGGAGGCAGAGGGTCAGGGCCAAGTAGGGGAAATAGAGATAAAACCTTTAAAATCCTTCTGCTAATGTAGGCATTAAGGGATTTTATCCTTATTTAATCTGGAGCATCCTTGGGCCAAGGGGACTAAATTTGTATAAAGAATGGATGTGCCCCCCCCCCCCCCCCTAGAGGCAGAGGGTCAGGGTCAAGTAGGGGAAATAGATATAAAACCTTTAAAATCTTTCTGCTACTCTAGGCATTAAGGGATTTTATCCTTATTTAGTCTGGAGCATCCTTGGGCAAGGGGACTCAATTTTTATAAACGATGGATGTGGCCCCCCTGGAGGCAGAGGGTCAGGGTGAAGTAGGGGAAATAGAGATAAAACCTTTAAAATCCTTCTGCCACTGTAGGGAAAGAGGATCGGGCCGAATAGGAGAAATAGAGGTTAAAGCTTAAAAGTCCTTCTTCTACCATAGGGATTAAAGGATTTCATCCCAAAATGTCTGGAGCTTCTTGGGCAATAGGGTCTCAATTTTGTATAAACAGTAAGTGAGGCACCTCTGGGAGCAGAAGGGTGGGACCAATAGGGGAAACAAAGCAAATTCATCAAAATCCTTCTTCTGCTGTAGGAATGACAGGATTTTGTTCAAAGGTATAAAGCACTCTTCGCTGAAGGGGAACTAATATTGTATAAATGGTGGGCCTCACCCCCCTGGGGGCAGAGAGGCGGGCCCAATAAGGGATATAGAGGAATAGCTTTAATATCCTTTTTCTTCCATTGGGATGAAGGTATTTTTACCAAATTTGAACAGTAGCATCCTATTGGGAAGGTTAACCGATTTTGTATGAATGGTTGGTCTGACCCCGCTGGGGCCAGAGGGGTGGGGCCCAATAGGGATAATTTTGCAAATTATTTAAAAATCTTCTTCTGTGGGAGGATTATTTCCATTTTTGGCCTAAAGCATCCTTGGGTGAAGGGGAACTAATTCTTCTTTTTCTGTAGGGATGACAGGATTCTGTCCAATTGCATATAAATATAACCCCTGACTAACCATGTACAGCAACATCTGGCTATTTCAACTTCAATTTTTCTAACATTTTCAGGTGAGCGATACAGGCCCTCTGGGCCTCTTGTGCAATATGTCAACTTAAACAAATCCATAGAATTCTATAAATTTATTCATTTAGTTATAATAGAAATGTCTGCGCAGAAGAGATGGCCATTTAATCAGTCTTGACAAATTCCTCTGCGTTCGCTACATTCTACCATCATGCTTTCTGTCGATGCCATCATTGATATGGAAACCAGTTACAAAACTGCAACGGTTTCCGAACCGGTTTTGGTTCGCCGTTAACAAATGAAAAAACAGTTTCAGCTTAAAACTATTTTTTTAGGTCACCTGAGCTTTGCTCAAGTGACCTATTCTAATCACTTTCCGTCCGTCGTCGTTCGTTGTGTGTAAACTTTTTACATTTTCAACTTCTTCTCAAGAACCAGTGGATGGATTTTTTTCAAACTTGGTCAGAATCATCCTTGGTAGATGAGGCTACAAAATTATAAAATTGGGATTCCTACCCCAACCCCTGGGGCCAGGGTGGGGCCCCAAATGGATTTAATTTAATTTATTTCAGTCGTTTATGGTAAAGCAAAGAAATTAAGTGTCATTGTATAAATTCTATCCCTCTGCAAAAAGTTCCGATTTTTTTCAAGGTAGACAACTCTCGTCAGGATCAAAATTGTTATAAAATGTAAAATAAATGAATTATAAAGACTGTGTATTTGGTTCAATTTTTCACTCTTTTTGTATGAAACTATGTGTCCTGTTTGCTTTTAGCTTGTATTTAGTAACTTTTATCCATACAATTTCAATAAAAAACGCATTTTGTAACATGTTGAGGGTTGATGAGCAATGTTTCTTTTCATTATTTTATTGTTGTAATAGTTTTGAACAATGCCACACGCTCAAAAAATGTGAAAGTGTTGAATTCAATTTTCTGTATTTTTTACAAAAAAATCCCCAGTTTATCGGAATGCTTAGATTGTCATAAAATCATCTCTACTTAGTGACATAACCATTATGTGAAACTTTCATTGAGTTCTGCTGGCTAATTGCGAAAGGGTGGAGCCTCCTTAAGTGGGATAAATTTGTGTGTTGATTGTTATTTAGAGGTGTTATATTTCTATTGACGTATTTCTCGAACAGATAAAATGACAAGACCTGTGATATTACTGGCTCCTCTGGCTGAACCTCTCATCAACAAGATTGCCTCGGCATCCAGTGACAAATATAAGGCCTGCCGACCAAGTAAGTCTCACCAGTTGTTATAGCAGTGCAAATTGCATAAGTTTTTAGCTCACCTGGCATGGTGGGGCGTCCGTCGTCAATTTTTTACTTAAACAACTTCTTCTCAATAACCAAGAGGCCCAGGCTAATGATATTTTGCCGCTAGCATGCTGGGATAAAGGGCTTCCAAGTTTGTTCAAATGAATGACCTTGATCCACTTTCAAGGTCACAGAGGTCAAATGTGTTTAAATCTTCTAACGGCTTCTTTTCTATAACCAAAAGCCCAGGGGTACTGATATTGGGCCTGTAGCATGCTGGGATGAAGGGCTATCAAGTTTGTTCAAATGAATGACCTTGATTCACTTTCAAGATCACAGGGGTCAAATGTCTTAAAATCTTCAAACGACTTCTTAATAACCAAAAGCCCCAGGGTACTGATATTGGGCCTGTAGCATGCTAGGATGAAGGGCTACCAAGTTTGTCCAAATGAATGACCTTGACCCACTTTCAAGGTGACAGGGGTCAAATGTCATAAAATCTTCAAACAACTTCTTCTCAATAACCAAAAGGCCCAGGGTACTGATATTGGGCCTGTAGCATGCTGGGATGAAGGACTACCAAGTTTGTTCAAATGAATGACCTTGACCCACTTTCAAGGTCACAGAGGTCAAATGTGTTTAAATCTTCAAACGACTTCTTCTCCATAACCAATAGGCCAGGGGTACTGATATTGGGCCTGTAGCATGCTGGGATGAAAGGCTACCAAGTTTGTTCAAATGAATGACATTCGCCTATATTCAAGGTCACGGGTCAAATGTCTTGTAATCTTTAAATAACTTCTCCTAAATAACCAAGAAGCCTAGGGTGTTGGTATTTGGCCAGTAGCATGCTGGGATGAAGGAATACCAAGTTTGTTTAAATGAATGACCTTCGTCTATATTCAAGGTCACAGGTGTCAAATATATTGAAACTTTTAAACAACTTCTTCTGAATAAGCAGAAGCCCCAGGATGATGATATTTGGCCAATATCATGCTGGGATAAAGGGCTACCAAGTTTGTTTAAATGAATGACCTTCACCTATATTCAAGGTCACAGGGATTAAATATGCTGAAACTTTTAAACTATTTCTAATAATTAAAATGTCTAGGGTGTTGATATTTGGCCAGTAGCATGCTTGGATAAAGGGCTACCAAGTTTGTTCAAACAAATGACCTTCACTCATATTCAAGGTCAAAGGGGTCAATTGTCTTAACAAACTTTAAACAGATTCTTCTGTATAACCAAAATGTCCAGGATGATGATATTTGGCCAGAAGGATGTTGACATGAAGGGCTTCAAAGTTTGTTCAAACAAATGACCTTCGTCCATACTCAAGGTCACAGAGGTCAATTGTCTTGATAACCTTTAAACAACTTCTTCTGTATAACCAAAAGGTCCATGGTCCAAGGGCTATGAAGTTTGTTCAACTTTAAATGTCCATATTGGACTTTCAAAGTTACAGGGGTCAAATGTATTTTAAGGTTACAATTGTGAGATTAATACCAGGTGAGCGATGCAGGCCCATTTGGCCTCTTGTAATGGTACATATTTCAGATTGGATCAATATCATCATTCTCTTACAGACATTATCGGTTGCTAGTCAAACTTTAAAATGTAAAATATATTGTCCTTTGTAAGATTTCCATAGAATAAAACAATAGGTGAATAAAACAATAAGTCTAGATCCTGCTCCATAATCAGGGCTTTCTGTCAGAAATTTGACATGGTAAAACACTGTGATATGTAGATGTGCAAAAGAGGTTTAAAAGGTTTCTAAGATCAAGGTCACCTACTGAAAATAGACCTGTTGTAAATAATGAGGAGATATGTACAGACTGCTGACCTGGTGTAAATAATGAGGGGATATGTACAGACTGCTAACCTGTTGTAAATAATGAGGGGATATATACAGATTGCTGACCTGTTGTAAATAATGAGGGGATATGTACAGCTGCTGACCTGTTGTAAATAATGAGGGGATATCTATACAGACTTCTGACCTGTTGTAAATAATGAGGGGATATGTACAGCTGCTGTCCTGTTGTAAATAATGAGGGGATATATCCAGACTGCCCGGTCTGTTTGTAAATAATGAGGGGATATCTATACAGACTGCTGACCTGTTGTAAATAATGAGGGGATATGTACAGATGCTGACCTGTTGTAAATAATGAGGGGATATCTATACAGACCGCTGACCTGTTGTAAATAATGAGGGGATATGTACAGCCTGCTGACCTGTTGTAAATAATGAGGGGATATGTACAGCTGCTGACCTGTTGTAAATAATGAGGGGATATATACAGACTGCTGACCTGTTGTAAATAATGAGTGGATATGTACAGACTGCTGACCTGTTGTAAATAATGACGGGATATGTACAGACTGCTGACCTGTTGTAAATAATGAGGGGATATCTATACAGACTTCTGACCTGTTGTAAATAATGAGGGGATATGTACAGCCTGCTGACCTGTTGTAAATAATGAGGGGATATCTATACAGACCGCTGACCTGTTGTAAATAATGAGGGGATATGTACAGCTGCTGTCCTGTTGTAAATAATGAGGGGATATCTATACAGACTGCTGACCTGTTGTAAATAATGAGGGGATATGTACAGACTGCCTGCATGTTTGTTTCTATTACATTTCAACCTATAAATTATTTGTACAGTTGTCATGCAGACATCAGCCAAAGCAATGGAACAAGGACTTGCTGACAGTACCTACATAGACTACTGGCAACAGGATGACCACTACGAATGTATCCGTGTGTCTTCTATCAGAGAAATCTGTGATCAGGTAAAAATATCTAGACACTACAGCATGACAGAAAGTCAGTTTAGTATAAATCTATATACTAAACACTACAGCATGACAGGAAGTAAGTTCAGTATAAATCTATATTTTCATATCAAAAACAATACTTACCACATCCAATTATTATCCAAATGATCTCCAACTACCAGTTTAACTCCCAAGGTAAAGTTTCAAAGGCCCCACGCAAATACGAAACTACTTCCTGTCCAAACCGGACATACGGGTGTAGGATGCGTGCGCACCTCCAACTTCCTCTTTCCTTCAACTCGAAGAAGCTTAAGGCCGTTTTTTTTACCATGGAGTTCGTTCAAGTTTTCAGAGGGCTGTTACCTGTGTCATTGTTTGTTTTCATTCTTCATTTATTATACCAGTTTCCCTGCTATTGTTTATATATCCTTTTTGCCTTTTTTTCACCGTATTTCGTTGTAAAACGTCGGTACCATTGCCACGTGTTTTGGTCCCCGTTCGTTTTCGTGAGTGTTTACTTTCACTTTCGTTTTTGTTTACAGTGATTTTTGTGAATTAAAATTATTTTATTTTACAAACAAAGGCTGAATTATTTGTTTATCTTGTTGTTTGTGAACCATGAAGGACTCCTCCAAGTCTGACAAACGGGGTAAAAGGAAGGACAAGGCTAGGTCCTCCTCCGGTAGTACCGGCGACCCCACGGAGAGTCCTTCGGCAGGTACCTCGTTGGCAGAGGCCCTGCCGGGTCCCAAGACTATCCAGCCCTTGGCTGGCTCTAGTTTATACAGCACATGTGTTGGCTATCCTGTTGCCAGGGAGGTTGGCCCCCCTTCCATTGGTGTAAGTTCATCTCTGGAAAGGGTGGACCCTCCCCCAGTCTCTCACTTTTTAGTCAGTCCTGGAGCATCTGTTGGTGGGGATAGAGTAATGAATGAGGATTCTTTTGGGTCCTCTGCTGTGATGGGGAGTGGTAATTCTTTGAATTATCTGGGCCCCACAGAGTGTAGCAGCACTGCCACCTCTCATGACTCTTCACGGTCCCTTCTCTTTCCTGGTCAGGTATCCGGTATCAACCCTGTCATGGTCGATTCCGTGCCAGCTTGCACCATACAGAACCCGTGGGCCGCGCCCATGGGTAATGGAGAAGGTGACAAGTCTGACAAGAGTCGGACGACACCCCGTGGTCTTGGGTATGAGTCATTTGGGGCTCATGATTCGGGTACTATGCATCATGGTTTTGGTGCTTTCCAGCAGCAAACTGGTCATTTGTCTGGCCCTAGGCCTTTCATTTCTGGTTTAGCTCCGGGAGGGAGTGGCGGTTCACCTTTTCCTTTTGGTCAGGGTGTTCCTTCCCATGTACCTACCGGTCAGTTTGGTCAGTACTGGGGTCACTCCTTTCCTTATGATCCTAGGGCCCAATTTCCTCAAGGATTTGGGTACAAATCCTCCGGGATTTAATCAGGGTTGGGGACCGGTCTCACCTCAGCAGGTTGGGGGCTCGCTGAATGCTCAGCTCCTACCCACCTTGGGCTGGGGAGGAAGTTGTGTTTAAAAGACCTATTAGGGCTTTTAGGACATCTCACTCCAAGACCAATATCCCCGCCTCTCGTAGGTCTTCAGAGTCTCATATTGGCCCTTCGGAGCCTAAGAGAGATCGTAAGAGGACTTTCTCAGAGAGTCTCCAGAACTCTACCTTGCCCTTAACAGTAGATACTTCAGTGACTACTTCCAGGAGGGGTACTGAAATGGAGAAGGTGGACAGGGACGATGACGTCCTCAGCCTGTCACCTGGAAGTGTGATGACTGAGTTTTCAGTCTGTGTCTGAGGGTTCTGTTGTTTCCTCGGCTTTGGCTGTCGCCCATGCTAGGATGGCAGAGATGCTTCGTTCTCTCGTGCATCTGGTTGAATTTGGCAGATTTGTCTGAGGTTAGGTCCTCAGACTACGGCATTCACAACACCAAACTTGATAGTCAACCAGCTAAGCTGGAAACTCGTTAGCTTCGGCAATGGACAGGACCAGCGACTGACCAGGTGGTGTTCTCTGCCAAGGAACACCACAAACACGAAACAAATACTGCGGCTTTCTCTCCAGGTACTCTCATATTTTGATTCCTGACGGTGACCCTTTTCCGTTTATCGGAAGTGCCCATAGGGGAGTCAGAGGTTGATGAGAGTGACAGACGAGCTGTGCAGGATAGGGTGACCTCATCCTTGCACAACTGTCTGAAGGCCTCTGCAGCTTTGCAGTATACACTGCTGGCCAATTTGGATCTTACCAGGCGAGCATCTGTGCTTAAAGGTAAGCCCATTGTTTTCTCCCTTCGAGGGTCCTTGGCTCTTCGGGGGTGCCCTTCCTTCTATTCAGAAGGAAGTTAAGTAGGACCCAGTAGCTTCGACTCTTTTGGTTTCAAAAGTGTCGGCTGCTGGTAAGGCTGGAACCCCTTGGGGTTCGGGCCAGGCCAAGACGAAGGCTAAGTTGAGGCCTCGCCAGACTCAGTCTGCGGCTAAGGCTAAGTCTACCTTTAAGGCCAAGGGAAAGGGCAAGCAGAGTGCCAAACCCTCTGGGGTTAGAAACAGTATTCCTGACTTCTCCCCTCCTTCCACAACTCTTCTGTTTCAGTCCGGGCAAGTAGATCAGAGGTTTCATTTACCCGATTTCATAACGGTCGTAGACAGCCCCATAGATGTTTTGGGAAGGTCTTGGCCTTCCTCAACCGGACCTTCCAGTAGGAGGTTGATTGTCTGCTTTCCTTCCTCAATGGAAGGAGATTACTCAGGACAGTTGGGCATTGTCAATAGTTGCGGAAGGATTGAGCATCCCGTTGTTACGGGAACCTCCGCTCACAGCAGAGCCAATCTTTTTTCCACTCCCGGTGGATCTAGAGAAGGGTCTAGCTGTCAGACGGGATATTGCTACTCTAGTCGAGAAGGGTGCAGTCGAGGAGCTCCCATGGCGCCGGTAATTTCCAGGCTTCTATTCCCGAATTTTTCTGGTGAAGAAGAAGTCGGGAGCTTGGTGCCCAATTATAGACCCAAGTGCTTTCAATCGGTTCGTGGACTCTCCCCACTTTCAGATAGAGACCCCGAGAGACATTTTTGCCTCAGTCAGAAAGGGAATGTGGGCTACTTCAATAGACTTGAAGGATGCCTACTTCCACATTCCCATCAGGATGTCGGACAGGAAGTATCATCGCTTCTCATGCGAGGGCAAGATATTCCAGTTCCGGGGGACTATGCCTTTTGGCCTTACCACAGCCCCAATGGTTTTTACAAAACTACTGCAGGTTGTGGTAGGTTTCCTGCACCAGCAGAGTATCAACATCCATATTTACTTCGACGACTCTCTCATGCTTCATTCACTGAGGGAGTCCCTGGTGCAGGATACTTGACTGTTTTTTTCTCAAGGTCGGGTTCATCCACTCCGAGTCAGAACTGTCTCCCTCCCGGGACTTTGTGTTCCTAGGCTACCGGTTCAAAGTAGCCAGGGGTATAGCCCTTTTATACAGTAGTTCTGCAGTACAGGTTCGTTGGTACCCCTTCTGCTGGGGTTTCTCAACTCGCTAGCAGATTTAGTTCCTCTCGGCAGACTGCACATCAGACCTCTGCAGATGTTTCTTCTCAGCCATTGGGTTCCAGCGTCGCGGGATTGGGAGGCTTTCATTCCTCTCAGTCAGTCGGTCTAGGAACTTGCCCAATGGTGGACAATTCGGAACAATGTCCTGAAGGGGGTGTCCTTTCACAGGAGCTCATCCACCATGACCCTGTATACTGATGCGTCCAAAACAGGTTGGGGGCCGTACCTGAACAGGCAGGCTCGCTCAGGTTCGTGGACAGAGGATTATCTTTCCGAGCACATTAATGTGCTTGAGATGAGGGCAGTGTTGTTGGCCATCCAGGACCTCAGGTCTTATCTGCAAGACCAGGTGATTTGCGTGGCAACAGACGACGCAACTGTTGTAGCTTATCTGCAGAAGCAAAGGGGCACTAGGTCTCACGTCCTGTGTGCCCTGGCCATTCACATTTTGCTACTTTGCCAGGAGTTATGCCTAACCATTCAGGTCAAGCACCTTCCGGGCAGGCACCCTGTCAAGACGTCTTCAGCCGGTTCTGATGGAGTGGCAGCTCGATTCATCCATATTTCGAGCAATATATCTGGTTTGGGACAGGCCTCATGTAGACCTACTTGCCACAGCCTTGAACCATCAGTTGCCGACGTTTGTGTCTCTCGTTCCAGATCCAGCAGCCTGAGGAGTAGTAGATGCTCTGTCTCTGGACTGAAAGGGGTTGCATGCTTACGCCTTTCCCCCCTTCAACTTGGTCGCCAAGCTCCTCCAGAAGTACCAGGAGCAGCCTTGCTCCCTAATTCTGGTGGCTCCCTTGTGGCCGAGGCAACCAGGGTTCCCTCAGCTTTTGTCGTTTCTGGTGGAAGAGCCTCTGGTCCTCCCACCCAGGTGGAACCTGTTACGACAGCCGAGGTCCAGAATCATGCACTCCTGCCCGGCTATACTTCACCTTCACGCGTGGAGGCTATCTCCGGTGGTCTCGCGCAGAAGGGATTTTCTGGAATGATGTCAGACTGTATCGCTAATTCCATCAGGTCTTCTTCCGCAGCAGTCTACCAGTCTAGGTGGAGCATCTTCTGCGATTGGTGTGGTCAGAGGCAGGTTAATTCACTCAAGGCCTCTGTTCCCCTAATTGCAGATTTTTTACTGCATTTGTTTCGCAGTCAGAAAATAGCTCCTGGTACTATTACCGGCTATCGGTCGGCTATAGCTGGTATCTTATCTTATGCAGGGCGACCAGGTAGGATCTTCCTCCTCTTTGTCCGCCCTTATCAGAGGCTTTACCATTAAGAGACCTAGAGTTAGGCGTCTAACTCCTTAATGGGATTTAGCTTTGGTTCTGAAGTCCCTTTTGGGTGCTCCTTACGAGCCTTTGAGTCAAGCTTCCTTGAAATTCTTGTCTTTCAAGACTGTGTTTCTTGTCACCCTTGCCTCAGGGAGAAGGCGTAGCGAGGTTCATGCCTTATCAGCGCATTCCTCCTGTTTACGTTTCGGCAGGAACTACTCCTCCGTGACTATCAGGACGGAACCTTCTTTCCTCGCCAAGAATCAAGTTCAGGGTTTTCTCCAGAACCTTTTTCTGCCCAGTCCAGTATTTCGGCACAATCCATCTCCTGATGGATTTGCCAGGTTATTAGGCTGGCTTATGAGTCGTCTTCTGATGATGTCAGAAGGCTATTCAAGGTTGGGGCCCATGAGGTTAGGGCTCTGGCAGCGTCTTGGGCCCTTCTCAATGGCTCTCCCTTTTCAGAGGTTATGTCCTCAGCCTTTTGGCGAGGACACACTACCTTTACAGAGTTCTACCTGAGATCACTGTCGTCCTTCTCAGGCAAACTTTTCTCTTTGGGTACGGTGGTTGTTGCCCAGTCAGTGGCTTGCCCACCCACCTCAGAGTAGAGTGTTCTCTGTTTTTAGATTTTTATGCGTTAGCATGGCGACAGAAAATCTTTGCTTGGCAATGATCTTTCTGTCTTTTAGTTACGGATGCTCTATGTGAGAGCTTTTCCTCGGTATTAAGGTTTCAATTGACTGTGACCAGTGTACCACCCTCCTGGATTAGCCATGGTCCTGCCGGATTGGAGTTACCACTAGGTAAGACGAATTTGCATAATAATTGGACGTGGTAAGTATTGTTTTTGATATAAAATTGAGTTTTTTTATGTAAAACTCATTTTATGATAAAACTCAAACCGCGTCCATTATGAGTCTCAACCTCCTCCCTGGCTGCTCCGGCTCCTTTAGGCTTTTTGCTTTAAGGTGTTTTGTTTGTGTTTCGAATAGAGGAAGTTGGAGGTGCGCGCGCATCCTACACCCATATGTCTGGTTTGGACAGGAAGTAGTTTCGTATATGCGCGGGGCTTTTTAAACTTTACCTAGGGAGTTAGAGAACTGGTAGTTGGAGATCATTTGCATAATAATTGGACGTGGTAAGTAGTTTTATCATAAAAATGGGTTTTACACAAAAAAACTCAAATAAGACACTACAACAAGACAGGAAGTCAGTTCAGTATAAATCTATATACTAGACACTCTTTACCTAGGGAGTTAGAGAACTGGTAGGTGGAGATCATTTGCATAATAATTGGACGTGGTAAGTAGTTTTATCATAAAAATGGGTTTTACACAAAAAAACTCAAATAAGCCACTACAACAAGACAGGAAGTCAGTTCACTATAAATCTATATACTAGACACTACAACATGACAGGAAGTCAGTTCAGTATAAATATATATACCAGACACTACAGCATGACAGGAAGTCAGTTCAGGTAAGGTAGTTGGGACGTGAAGCTATACAGCTTATGGTTTACAAATAATTTCTAGTTAAAACTATCTCTCCAGTGTGTATCGGTATAATAAAACGGTTAAAGTATGGGGTTAAGGGATATAGCAAGTTTCTGGTGTCCCTTGACCATGCCTATTTCCCTCGGCTTCGCCTCGGGAAATAGACCTGGTCTCGGGACACCAAAACTTGCTATATCCCTCGACCCCATACTTTAACTGTATAATACAAGACACTACAACATGACAGGAAGTCAGCTTAGTATCAATCTATATACTAGACACTTTAGTATGACAGGAAGTCAGTTCAGTATAAATCTATATACTAGGCACTACAACATGACAGGAAGTCAGTTTAGTATGAATCTATATACTAGACACTTTAGTATGACAGGAAGTCAGTTCAGTATAAATATATACTAGACACTACAGCAAGACAGGAAGTCAGTTCAGTATAAATTTATATATTAGACACTACAACATGACAGGAAGGCAGTTCAGTATAAATCTATAGCTTATGGTTTACAAATAATTTCTAGTTAAAACTATCTCTCCAGTGTGTATCGGTATAATAAAACGGTTAAAGTATGGGGTTAAGGGATATAGCAAGTTTCTGGTGTCCCTTGACCATGCCTATTTCCCTCGGCTTCGCCTCGGGAAATAGACCTGGTCTCGGGACACCAAAACTTGCTATATCCCTCGACCCCATACTTTAACTGCATAATACTAGACACTACAACATGACAGGAAGACAGTTCAGTATAAATCTATATACTATACACTACAACATGACAGGAAGTCAGCTTAGTATCAATCTATATACTAGACACTTTAGTATGACAGGAAGTCAGTTCAGTATAAATCTATTTATTATACCTCTACTTTATTTACTTTATATAAAAGTAATTGGTTAAATCGAATATATCCCCACTTTTGCCTGACTGTGTTTAAGTCCTGTGTGTTAGTCTGGGACCTAAAACACACCTACACTCGGGTGTTTTCGCCGAGCCAATCAGGCGAGAGATGGGCAGAGCTTGTTAACGAACTCGACACTGACTCGCGAGGTGGGCGGAGCTTGCTACCGAACTCGGAAGCGACGCGCGAGGTGGGCCGAGCTTGCTACCGAACTCGGAAGCATTTTTGGCGCTGTTGTGATCAAGGTAGTTGGGACGTGAAGCTATACAGCTTATGGTTTACAAATAATTTCTAGTTAAAACTATCTCTCCAGTGTGTATCGGTATAATAAAACGGTTAAAGTATGGGGTTAAGGGATATAGCAAGTTTCTGGTGTCCCTTGACCATGCCTATTTCCCTCGGCTTCGCCTCGGGAAATAGACCTGGTCTCGGGGCACCCAAACTTGCTGTATCCCTCGACCCCATACTTTAACTGTATAATACTAGACACTACAACATGACAGGAAGTCAGTTCAGTATAAATCTATATACTAAACACTACAACAGGACAGGAAGTCAGTTTGGTATCAATCTATATACTAGACACTTTAGTATGACAGGGAGTCAGTTTAGTATAAATCTATATACTAGACACTACAGCATGACAGGAAGTCATTTCAGTATAAATATATATATTAGACACTACAGCATGACAGGAAGTCAGTTCAGTATAAATATATATACCAGACACTACAGCATGACAGGAAGTCAGTTAAGTATAAATCTATATATTAGACACTACAACATGACAGGAAGGCAGTTCATTATAAATCTATATACTAGACACTACAACAGGACAGGAAGGCAGTTCAGTATAAATCTATATACAAGACACTACAACAGGACAGGAAGTCGATTTAGTATAAATCTATATACTAGACACTTCAACATGACAGGAAGTTAGTTCAGTATAAATCTATATACTAGACACTACAACAGGACAAGAAGTTGGTTTAGTATAAATCTATATATTAGACACTACAACATGACAGGAAGGCAGTTCAGTATAAATCTATATACTAGACACTACAACAGGACAGGAAGGCAGTTCAGTATAAATCTTTATACAAGACACTACAACAGGACATGAAGTCGATTTAGTATAAATCTATATACTAGACACTACAGCAGGACAGGAAGTCAGTTCATGTTAAATCTATATACTAAACACTACAACAGGACAGGAAGTCAGTTCAGTATCAATCTATATATTAGACACTACAACAGGACAGGAAGGCAGTTCAGTATAAATCTATAAACTAGACACTACAACAGGACAGGAAGTTAGTTCAGTATTAATCTATACCAGACATGACAGGAAGTCAGTTTAGTATAAATCTATATACTAGACACTACAACAGGACAGGAAGTTAGTTCAGTATAAATCTATACCAGACATGACAGGAAGTCAGTTTAGTATAAATCTATATACTAGAAACTACAGCATGACAGGAAGTCAGTTCAGTTGAAATCTATATACTAGACACTACAGCAGGACAGGAAGTCAGTTCAGGTTAAATCTATATACTAAACACTACAACAGGACAGGAAGTCAGTTCAGTATCAATCTATGTACTAGGCACTACAACAGGACAGGAAGTCAGTTCAGTATAAATCTATCTACTAAACACTACAACATAACAGGAAGTCAGTTTAGTATAAATCTATATACTAGTCACTAAAACATGACAGGAAGTTAGTTCAGTATAAATCTATACTAGACATGACAGGAAGTCAGTTTAGTATAAATCTATATACTAGACATTACAACAGGACAGGAAGTCAGTTCAGTATAAATCTATATACTAGACACTACAACATAACAGGAAGTCAGTTTAGTATAAATCTGTATGTTAGACACTACAACAGGATAGGAAGTCAGTTCAGTATAAATCTATATACTAGACACTACAACAGGATAGGATGTCAGTTCAGTATAAATCTATAAACAAGACACTACAACAGGACATGAAGTCGATTTAGTATAAATCTATATACAACACACTACAACAGGACAGTTAATATATACTAGACACTACAACAGGACAGTTAATATATACTAGACACTACAGCATGACAGGAAGTCAGTTTAGTATAAATCTGTATGCTAGACACTACAACAGGATAGGATGTCAGTTCAGTATAAATCTATACTAGACATGACAGGAAGTCAGTTTAGTATAAATCTATATACAAGACACTACAACAGGACAGGAAGTCAGTTCAGTATAAATATATACTAGACACTACAGCAAGACAGGAAGTCAGTTCAGTATAAATATATATACTAGACACTACAGCATGACAGGAAGTCAGTTCAGTATAAATATATATACTAGACACTACAGCATGACAGGAAGTCAGTTTTATTTCTGTGATAATTGATTTCTGATTCATACACTACTTTTCAGTGTGGCTTCCAGTAATACATTACCAGAATCAAAATACATGTTTTTATTTTATTTTCTGCAGAGCATTCACTGTCTGCTCAACACTAGTCCAGCAGCTATAGAGCGTCTCCATAGACTACAGATATACCCCATTGTCATCTTCGCCCGCCATAAATCATTTAAACAGATCAGGTAAGTTACCAAATTGATTTTTAGCTTACCTTGTCCGTCAGCTTTTCCTTTAAAATGGTACTAGTTTGGAACGGAGGGTGTGGCCCCTTTAGGTTCAGAAGGACGGGACCCAATAAGGGAATTTGAGGTAAATCTTTAAAATCCTTCTTCTTCTGTACCGTTTGAAGGATTACAACCAAATTTGGTCCAAAGCAAGGGGACTCAATTTTGGATAAATCCTGGGGACAGAAGGGCAGGCCCAATAGGGGGACTTAAGGTAAACCTTAATTTACTCTCTTTTAATTTAATTAAGGGAATTTTCACCAAATTTGGTCCAGAGATTCCCAGGGCAAGGGGAACCAAATTTTCCCAAATCAGAGGGGGTGAGGCCCAATTGGAGGAACATGGTAATAAATGATTAAAATCCTTCTCATTCAATATTATTGGAGGCATTTTAAACAAATTTTGTGTAGAGCATCCTTTAGCAAGGGGGGCTCAATTTTGAACAATTGGAGGGTGTGGCTAGGGGGAAAAGGGGAAATAGCCTAAAAGCAGGTTAATTTTTAGCCCACCATCATCATCAACAGCAGTCAAATAAGTCAAACTTTTCAAACAACTTCTTCTGAAGAACTAAATGGTATAGAATCTTCATATTTGGCTGGTGGCTTCCTTGGAAAGAGCCTGACAAAGTTTGAGAATGATGATTACTTTGACCTACTTTTAAGGTCACAGAAGTCAAATATATCAAGCGCATTAAACGACATCTTCCGAAGAACTTAAAGGTATAGAATCTTAAATTTTGGCTGATAGCTTCTTGGGATAGAGCTCACAAAAGTTTGCAAATGAAAATGACCTCGACCTACTTTAAAGGTCACATTTCAAAGGATTTTTCTGAAGAACCAAAAGGAATGGATTCATATGATTTGGCTGGTAGCTTCTTGGGATAGAGCCAACAAAGATCGAGAAGGAAAATGACCTTGACCTACTTATAATGTCACAGGGAAAAATATGTCAAACACTTCAAACAACTTCTGAAGAAGAACCAAAAAGCATAGAACCATATAATAATAATTGACTGGTAGTTTCAACAGATGGAGTCGACAAAGTTTGCGAGTGAAATATTTGTGAGAAATTCGTGAGACATTTAAAACATGAATTATATAGCATGTAACATAGTATTGAATCATTTGTGTTATTCTGAAGTCTCTAATTACCTTGTTAGAGCCAAAATTGAAGATTTATTGATATTTTAAAGGATTTTAGGAAGGTTTGCGCCAGATAAAGCTATCAACATTTAAAAGTAAATAAATCACATAAAAGGCAAAAAAAAGAGTAATTAAAAAAAAAAAGAGAAATTCTAGAGGGATGTCCTTGTTAACCCAGGTTAAAAAAAAACATATCTCGAAACATTGGGAATATTCGGGCAGGTTATGCCATGGCGCGGCGTCCGGCGTCAACTTTTCCTAAATATCGCTACTAGTCATAAACGACTGAGCAGATTATGACCAAATTTGGTCAAAAGCATCCTTAGGGGAAGGGGAACAAATTTTAAATAAATGGTGGGTCTGGCCCCCCTGGGGGCTGAGGGGCAGGGCCCAATAGGGGAAATATAGCAAATTCTTTAAAATCCTTCTTCTTCTGCAGGAATGAAAGGATTTGTTCCATAATTGGTCTGAAGCATCCTTGGGGGAAGGGGAACCAATTTTGTATAAACAGTGGGTCTGGCCCCAGAGTGGCCTGAGGGACGGGGCCCAATAGGGAACACATAGCAAATTCTTTAAAAATCCTTCTTTTTCTGTAGTAATGAAAGGATTTGTTCCATATTTTGTCTGAAGCATCCTTGGGTGAAGGGGAACCAATTTTGTATAAACGGTGGGTCTGGCCCCCCAGGGACCTGAGTGACGAGGTCAAAAGGGGTCAATTGCGCTATATTGATTTAAGCGACTTCTCTGGAACTAAGAGATGGATATCAACCATATTTGACTGGAAGCATCCCTCGGTAGTGGAGATTCAAAATTGTACAAAGGTTGGGCTGACCCCCCAGGGGGCTGAAGGGCGGGTCCAAAAGGGGGCAATTTGGCTTTATTGCTATTAACGACTTCTTCTGTAGAATTATGCCATGGATATCGATCATATTTGGTCAGAAGCATTCATGGGAGGCAGGGATTCAAAATTGTACAAATGGGTGTTGTTGTTTTTTTGTTTTTTTTTATTGCCCCACAATATTTTTGGAATACTGCCAGGGTTGGGGCCCTGGATTCAATATCTTTACAAAAAATGTCCTCGTGCAAGAGGGCTCTCATTCATTCATTCGTTCATGCAGTCGTTTAAGTATTCATTCAATTGTTTACTTATTCATTCATTCATTTCTTTTCATTACATCCTTCCCTTTACATTTATTCCATGTTTACATTCAATTCTTTCTTTGTTCACACTCATTCACTCATTTTATCTATTTATTCATACATTTTGAAGTTTTCTCATTCCTGATATATACAAAGCTACTATATAAAACTTAGTAAATGTACTGAGGCATGACACAGATGAGGCAGGGAGAAGGGAAAGCCCCTGATTGGCCAGCTAGGCACCAGATACACCACATATTAGCATGCGAGGGTAGCAAACATTTCAAACTAATAAGGGGAGAGAACTTCTTTAAAAAAGCAATCTAAGTAATATTTAAAATAATAATTAATTAAGGTTGTTATTATTAAAAAATTGTTCGAATGCACCCCATTTATTTTGGAAAGGTAATAGAGATTGATTTTTTTTCATCGCAATAAATTTCTCTACTTTCACTGTTTGTGCAAAAATAATCTTACACATTTCAAAATTTGGAATGGAGTCTTTAATGCAGCACAGTATATATGATGTTTATTAGTATTAGAAAATGGTTTAATAATAGTCCAATCTTTGAATTTCCAAAAAGGATATCTATATCTTTAAAATCAATATATGGCTGTCTATCATCATGCTCAGTATACCAAACATTAAAATCATCCAATAATCTCTGTACATAATAGCATTGAGTTAAGATGTGTTCCAATGTTTCTGTTTCTCTGTTACAGAATGTACATAATCGATTTGTTATTAATTTCATTTTTACTAACACTTTATTAGTTGGTAGAATCCTATGATTGATTTTGTATTGGAAAGTTTGTAATTTTGTTTCCATTGTACAGTTAAATGCATTCATATAAATATCTTGCCAGTTTAAATCCTCATCCATCTCAAAAACTGATTTCCATTTTTCTTGGCTATTTTTGGGCATTATTATGACATTTGCAACAAATTTTCTATAGATAAACTTTAAATCCTTCTAAGTTAACATGAGCCAGACAATATCCTCCTTTCTAGTCGGTATTACAACTTCATTATTTTCTATTTTGTTTCTGTATGTTTGCTTCCAGTTCTTATCAATTTTGTTTACTATAGAATAGTACTGAATAAAATTTAAAGAAGGAATAGTTTCCAAATGATTGAAATCTCTAATTATTCCATTATGGAAAAGATCCCCAACTGTATCAAGACCACCTTGTGTTTTCCACTGTCTACAGAACTTCATCTTTTCAAATGGTACAAAATTCACTAATCCCTAACTGAGGTATATATTCTGACAAGGTATCCCGCTCACTCTGGATCTCAGACAAAACATTGAGGATATCTCTCCAAAAAGGATTTCTAATATGCCTACTGACTTCTTTCAGTTTTATACCATCCATATCATACAGTAAGTCAACTTCAAAAGGTAAAACTTCATTTAACAATGCTATCCATGCTCTTTTTGAATCCTCAAATATTTTTTTAATCCATTTTACTTTCAGATACTTAATATAAGACGAAATATGATCATGTTAAGACCTCCATCTTCTTTATAGGCAATGATAGTATCCCGCTTTACCTTGTCAGTTTTAAAATTCCATATGAAACCAAATAAAATTGTATTCAACCTGTTTATATATAGTTTGGAAGGGTTTGGCAGCGAGGTAAACAGATGTATACATTTTGGTATCATAAGGGGTTTTATAATTGTAATACGCCCAATAAAAGTAAGATCTCGACAGCTCCAGTAACGTAGAAGTTTATTAACCTGTTGCAGTTTAATTTCATAGTTTATGCATTCCATATCATCAAGATTTAATGAAGACACAATACCAAGCAGTTTAATGTTTGAAGTTGACCAGGTTAATTTCAAATCTGGACATATTCTATCATTAGAGAACTTTTGATTTCCTATCCAGTACAGGCTTGATTTTTAGCTCACCTGGCCCGAAGGGTCAAGTGAGCTTATGGCATGGTGCGGCGTCCGTCGTCCGTCCGTCCGTCGTCAACATTTTACTTTAAACAACTTCTTCTCAGTAACCATAAGGCCTAGGGTGATGATATTTGGCCAGAAGCATGCTGTGATGAAGGGCTACAAAGTTTGTTCAAATAAATGACCTTGACTTATATTCAAGGTCACAGGGGTCAAATATGTTTAAAACCTTTCAACAACTTCTTCTGAATAACCGATAGGCCTAGGGTGATGATATTTGGCCAGAAGCATGCTGGGATGAAGGGCTAC